CCAAGCAGAAAAGATCAATTAGTCTTTTTTGTGTGAATACTTTAGCCATCAGCATTTCGCTTGACACCCTGAGGAAGTCTTGGGCAATATGTAGCTCTGATTAGACATCATTCAGAGCAAAGCACAGCTTGGGCTGATATTCATCCTGGGAGGAAAGTTCAATGGCTCAGAGTGCTAGATATGGTTTTTTGATTGTTTCGCATTCCATTTGCTGCCTCAGGGCCCCAGAGCACTGGCCTTGTATTAAAGTCCCTACTGGACCCTTCTCAAGATCAATGTTGTGATCTCCTCAGTCATTCACTGCAGGAAATTAAGCCAGACTCCTGGGGACCAAGCGGCCATCAGCTGTAGCCCCAGGGAAAGAGGAAAGTGGGAGCAGATACGCTTTCAGCAACTTGCTGAACAAATATAGACTTGAAAAATGAAAACGATATTGAGGAAGCTACTGCCATTTTTCCAAAGACATGTATTTTTTTCAGTGGTAACGGATGTTTTAACTTTAAGCTGGTTAGTACTCTTGTAAATACTACAAACCCTTACTTTGGTTTATTGTATATCTCATCCTTAAATGAGTACATTGTATTGCAGCCTTTGTGAATATCGACACTGGTGAAATTTAACTTTTTTCTTATTTTATTCTCTACTGTACTTTAATAAAATGTGAGGTCCAAGGAAGGTACTGTATTCTTGAAAAGTTCAATGTGCATTCTTAGATAGGTTTGCTGACATAGAAAGTGCCAATGTGAATGCTAAGGGGAAAAGAAAAACAATAGTTAATAACCCTTGCATAAATTTTGAATTGTTTATACCAGAAGAGGGATTTTTAATCCTGGTTTATCACTGTACATAGTCAATTTAAGTTAGGAGCATGCCCCTGCCCATGAAGTACAATGAGAAGGCAGTGAACTGCTAAGTAGGGGCTATTCTTAGCCTTCTCTTTGATTTTCAGTCTCTTTTTCTCATTATCTTTGCCGATTACTATTTACTGACCTCCTGCAGGGGCATTGGCCCAGGGTTTGAAGTGATTGCATATTGAGTAATAGCAAAATAGAAACTGGCTTAACCATTTTCAGATATTTACCCTTGAGATTTCTTAGTTCTCGTGTGTGAAGGTAATAGCATTGGTTTTGCCTTTGGGCTCCAAGGAACACCTTTCTTTTTGAATCTCATTAGTACATTTGTTTCCATAAAGTTAGTGAAAGTTACACAAAAAGCCAGGCAAAGTACTTTCTACTCTGCAACCACAAAACTTTTCTTTTAATTTGAATTTTAGGTACTTATTGTGCTGTCGAGAGTGGATTTTATCTCTTATCAAGGCCAAAGATCTGTGTAACTTGGAGTGATGAATTATTAATTGCTCAAAGAAGTATAATGCCCTCACTTTGTGTTGAGTGATTCTATCTTAATTACATTTTTTTTTTCAATCAAGTATCATTTTGAGTACAAGTGGAAGGACCTGGAACAAATGAAATAATTTCAAGCTGAGTCAGTCAGAGTCCTGAAGGTAGAAACAGGAAGCAGAGATAGGAAGGAGGTTCTGTATTAAGAAAGGTGTGTCTCATTCAACTTGGAACGAAGTCCTTCTCCCATATCCATTAGTGTCTACATCAAGCTTACGAAAAGAACTCACAGCAATCCCTGAAAGATGTGTGAAATGACAAAATTAAGATAACAAAGCCTATATTGTAGGAGAGTCTGACTCCATGCCAACTCAACACCTTCCCTGGCACCTAAACTTTGCCAAATTCATGTGATCTGAAGAAAATAATATTTATTACTTTAAGAGATATTTCAAGTACATGTTTTACAAAACTCTTCTAAATATATGTTCCTTTCCACTATTATATTCATCCCTGAATTATATATAAGCCACAAGTCAGCTATATATAGTTCTCTCAATCTCCCTAAGAGACCTAACTTGAGCTTTGATGCCTAGATCGTGTGTTAAAAATCTTGTTCTGCATTTATAACCTAAATTGGAAAACTTTTTCAATTTATCTGAACCTTCAACTTCACTTGAAAAGTTTGCATTAAAAAATAGCAGTCATTCTACAAAATTACATTTAAAATGACAAGACACATATAAAATGCTTGGTAAATAAGTGCTTGATCACTAAGAGCTTTGCTATGGCTCTTGGAACAGCATTGTAGAAGAATGTGATTGTTCTTGATGGTCATGACTCTTAACTTCTAGGAGAGGAATACATAGTTATGTCACTTATGTCCCCAGTACCAAAAATCAAGTCCTGTTGGAATCTTTCTGTGAAGACTCTCTCTCTCTCTCTCTCTCCCCCCCCCCCCTTAATTTATTGGTTCTTTTTAGTTTATATGACTGAAGTAAGCCCCATTCCCCTAAAACCAAAGGTTGAATGTTTTCTCTAATAGGTTGAAGTTCTTAAGTCTCTTATTTTATGATGAATATTCTGTAGCATTTACCATGTTGTTTTCATATTTATTGAAAGCGAGTTCTGCATAGAACATACAGGTTATGTTCCATAATGCTTATGCCCTTTGTGAAAATGCAATGGAAGGGTCTCTTGGTTTCTGACCTGGTGTATAAATGCAGTGCACTCAATTATAAAGTAAACCAAGGTTGGATCCAAGAGTCAAATATCAAATGAAGTATCAAAGCGTATCTACAACATACTGTAAACATATCATGTAATAAACATTCCACAAGTATTTAATTGGCATTATATCACTTAGCTGCCATAATCACCTATGGAATCAGGCATTATTTTCTCCATTTTATAGTGAAAAATTGAGTCAGAAATGTCAGGGCACACAGCTAATAATTGACAAATTTTGGAATTGAGCAAGACCTTGTAATGATCTTCCCCTTACACTAAATTTTCTAGCAAGATCTTTTCATGCAATCATACTACTATTTATTCAAATATCAATAGTCTTTTGTGCTTGAATCCACACAATTTGTCTCTATGATGAGCTCAAATTTGCTTTATGTTGGGTTAGGTTCAATATTGGCCACTTCTTCAGCTGACTTCTTTTTGGGGAAGAAGCCAAGCTCCGCTTGGGAAAGATGAGTCAAGGTATAAAATGATGAACAGGATAGACTAGAAAATGAAACTCATTCAACACTGTTGCTTCTCTTTCTTAGCATTTTCCTATCCACCAACATATCCACTTCCCCCAGACAATTTTCAACAAAGCCCTGGCTTCTCCATAAGCTATGTCCATAAAGAAACATGTACTTGGAAGGCACCCACACTGGCTGTGTTTTTCCTCTTGTCTTCAGAAACAGTGGCTCAAATGAATTGAACTCCTTCCCAACAATCCAATTTGAGATTCATTAGCAACAGTCTTCATTGTGAAGAAATTTGATCTGTGTACACATGATTGGCTGTGATTGGAATCCTGAGAGGCTGCCATGAGACAAAGGCTCTCTTTGTTATTGCATTGCTGTGTTACAGCCACCACTGCTGTGGCCAAAAGCTTTACATCAATGTCTCTGGCTGCAGGGATGCTCTTCTGTTGACACTCTCTGTTACTGTGGATGAGATCGAACAGTTTGGGGCCTCTCTTAGACAGCCCTCAGTTCTCCTTCCCTTCCACCCTCTCCAAACCACCTGTGTAAGCATTGGTTTATAGGATTTAGGTTTAAATCTTCCTTTTTAGTCTATACTGTTCCATTAATCAGGGTTATCCAGAGAAACAGACCCAACCATATAGTGCACATGTGTGTATAAATTTCACAAATACATATGAAGAGATTAATTATGAAGAATGTTCACATGACTGTGAATAATGATTAAGATGGGCTAAACTCGGCCATCTGTAGATTTGAAACCCAGGGAAGCTAGTGGTAGGACTCCAATCTGAGTATGAATACTGAAAACCTTGGAGCTGATAATGCAAATACCACTTCAAGGGCAGGGAAGATCCAGGTTCCATCTCAAGCTGGAAGGCAGGAAACAAAACAGAATAAATCCCTCCTTCCTCTGCTTTTGCTTTTTTCAGGCCCTTGGTGGACTGAATGATACTCATATTAGGGAGGTCAATCTACTGAGTTCTTTGATTCAAATGCTTATATCATCCAGACAGAAACATTTTCACATTAAATATGTTTCCCATCTTTTGGTGACTGCCACTAACATGTTCTCTTATTCTGGTTCATAATATCATCCAGTCAGACACATCCAGAAATGATATTTCATCTGCTGCCTCTTGACCTAATCAATTTGACACATGGAATCGTCACTGCAAGCACCTGCAAAACTGACTGGTAAATTGTCAAGAGCATTAGCTTTGCCATAGATTCAGAGTTACTTGCCAGTCTCCTCTAATTGTTTATTAATCCTTTCCCTTTGGTAGGATTGCTTGCATCTTCCAAAATTATGAAACAACTCATCTCTGTTTTGTGGGATGACTAAATTTCCTTTATATCAAGTTATCTGGTTTTATTTATTTATAAATTTCCATTCTTTCTTCTGTGCTGAGTTTATGACCTGACATCTCCATATGCTGATAACTTTTAGTTTATTACCATAAGCTCCCAAAGGCTGAATCCTCTCAAGTTTGAGGTTGAGGACACTGAGTTGTAGAGTGGTTAAATAACTTGCAAAGTTACAACTGGAATTCATACAGCATTCACTCAGCACAGCTCAGACTTCAACCCCAGAAAGTATGTCTTCAAAACCTGTGCTCTTAGCCACTCTCTCTGTTGCTCCCCTAAAGAAGAACAAAATCAAACCTTCATACCCATGCTATCTAATCAAAATAATGAATTCCACACATTCTGATTCCATGGTTTTATGATTTTCACATTAAGTATGTTTCCCATCTTTTAATGACTGCCACTAATGTGTTCTCTTATTCTGGTTCATAGTAGAAAAAATATACTTAAGAAACATATTCTTTTATTATTCAAATATTTATCATATTTTCATCAGGCAGAAATCATTTAAAACTTTTTAATGTAAAACTCACAAGAGTCATATAAAATAATATTTTGACAACAAGTCTATAATTCCAAATAAATTTATTTAACAGAAAGAACATTTCCCCAACTTATAAATCACTTAAGAAATAGTGAAAAAGTAAAAGAAATAGCAGAATAGTGATGATACTAAATTTGAAATCAACATTTTTCAAAGATCTTTGGGGATTTTGTGGTCCTAGAGTCCATAGAAATGGAATTCAAATATACTTTTTAAGCAGTAGATTCCATCTCTTTGCTCACTTAGTTGTGTTTTGATGCAGTGGGTAAAATGGTGAATGGGTAATGAATAGGCCCAGATTTTAGTTGTTTATAATGTTAATAACTGCAGTCAGTCTCTGGCAGATTTGAGTCTATTTGAATTCATAAGACAAACATGGGCTTAGGTCTCTCTTAATTCTGGCATTTATGGATTTCTGATTTATTAGCACATTGGTAAATAAGCAGATCCAATGTCAATCATTTCTAGAGATGGTAACTATTAGAACAAAGTGTAAGGTTAACTTTTGAAGGATTCATTTTATTCCCTGATAAAATTTATTGCTCTATAATAAATAATGTCTAGTGATCTAAAATATATAACATGCTTTTCAATCCCAACGTACCACCAGAAATCCCCCAAAGAGAAAAAAAGTCTTACTTTGGAGAGCGCAGAAGAAAAAGACAAGCTCATTTACTAATAAACACACAATATTTTACATTTAGAGAAATGAATATCCTAAATATCACAGAAATCAATTTATATATATATATATATGTATAAATAATATCTTCTACAATTTTTTTTTCACTTACTAGGCAATTGCAAACCACCAGTAACACAGCAAGTTGGCTCATAAGTGCTAGAAGATTCCAGAAGTTGTGGCCCAGGTGCAGCATCGACCAGAGGGCTACAGGAATTGTATGTAAGGGTCTGAGATTGGCATTGGCTAGATTCATATTCCAGAGTTTGGTGACACCTAGACACAGAAGACTTTAGTGGACGATACTGCAACATGTAGCTTGCAGGTTGGCATCTCTGGGCTACAAAAGCTCTGTGCCGATTGCTTGCTGGCTGGCAAGTCTGAGAAGCACTCTCCGGCACTGCTGCACAACTTCCTGGTGGGCATGTTGTCCTTTCACAGGGCTTGGAATTGGAACACGTTGTTTGGACAACTGAGGAGTGGCAGGTACTCTGTGCACAGGTATCCTCTCTGAACTGGTCCTGTTCACAATTGGTCACTTGGCAGCTGGTGGCTTCACTGCGGGTTTCTTGAGAGCTGTCCAAGAGCCAGGTTCTGTTGTGGCAGCTGCTGGGCAAACAAAACCCATCTTCAAAGCTTATAAGATTAGAGCCATGTACAATGGCAGAGAGTGGTGGGGCATTGCAGCAGCTCCTGAGTGACTGGCAGTGGCTCTCAGGCATATTGCTAAAACCCTTAGTTGAAGATGGTCAAAAGGCCTCAACATGCCAAGTTTGAAGAGCAAATTTGTTGCAGGGGAGACTTTATACTACTCAGAAAATTGGGTGTTGGCTTTTTTCAGGACTCCTTTACTCTTCATTGCTAAAGCTCATTTGAAGGATAACATCTCATTAGCACACTGTTAGTTATATAGGAAATGATGTCTTATTAACAAAGATGCAAGTCCATTTTGGATCTTCAAAATGGCTTTCATGTTGGCTCCAAAGGTGACTCATTAGGGTGGGGTTTGTCAGATGCGAGTCCCTACGTGTCATCCAAGCTGACAGTTTTTTTTTTCCCTTAGCCACCAAGTTCACAAGTAGGTGAATAGCAATAATGAGTGTGGAAACTACCAATTGAATGCTGATTTACATTCAGCACTGGAGTTTTGAGAATGCCAACTGGGCAGATGTGGTAAGATAATGCAAAGACATTTTTAGACAGAGGTGGATTCAGTGGAGCCTGCATTCAGAACTTAGTCTCTCCAGGTGGTTGGGATGAGAGGGGACTGCACACAAGCAATTTTTTTCTCCTGTTCACTCAAAGTACTGGATGTGGTCATTGCCCTGCCAACCTCCCTCTGTGATGAAACTCTATTTCCCTCATCTCCTTGAAGGTCCTACAAGGAGCCTACTCCCATCAATGAGCCTATTCCCATTGCCATTTAGAAGCTACTGGTTCTTCCTCCAAATTGCCAATTGAATTTTTAAAAGGAAAATAGGTCATTTTCACCTTTTCTCAATGCTCATACACATTGAATAAAATTTAACGAGGAAGGAATATCACTGTTGAAATAAAGGAAATGATTAAAGTCATAAAATTAGGTAAAAGAAGGTACATTATATTATTTATAAAGTGCCCTATGGGAATGGGGGTTACAGAGCAGTTATTTCATTATAATTTTTAAATTGACATAATATTTGTATATATCTATGGAGTACAGGGGATAAATTGATACATGTATACAATGAATGATGATCAAGTCAGAGTAATGGACATACGTAGCTCACCAAATATTTGTCCTTTCTATGTGCTGAAAAACATTGGACCCTTCTAGTTATTTTGAAATATATCATAGATTGTGTCAACTACACTTGCCCTACTCTTCTACAGAACACCAGGATTAGTTCCTCCTATCTAAATTTATTGGTTTCTAGTTTATAATATCTTTCCCTCCCACCTCCTCCATAGTCTTCCTAGTCTCCAAATCCACTATTTCAGTAAATTTCAGCCTCTTTTTATTATCACTGTGCTTTATCACAAGCATTGTGCTTGTTTTTGTGCTTCTCAGGTTGATAGTTTTCCCTTGGAACAATTGTGTTTCTGATATGATTTTCGTTTGTATTTATTTTGGTTTTGGTCTGTGACTGCAGGCAGATGCTCACTTCCTACATGGTTTACATTTGCAGACAGCACTTAGCAGTTTCATGCCCACGACACAGAATCTGCCAGCATAATTTCTAGAACACATTCTACAATTTACCAAGCGCAACTTATGACAATGAAACTGAACAGAAATAATTCTTAGCACAGGGCCCTAGTCTTGTTTTCAGATCTGAAGAAACTGGAGATTATCTAGGCCATTTGAATAACTCTCCAAAAAAACCATCCTTGATATTTGAAGGATTAGGGATATTATCGTCTCAATATTTTCAGTTTGATTGACTGTGCACACGCAAATTATGGATAGTTTGAAAGACCATCAGTGTGTGTTTGAAGGTCCCTGAATACCTGCCATGAAAGCCCTACCATAAACCATTTGATTCTTAGGCAGATTGTATTTTATATGCTATTGAACAGAGGCTTCCACTGTAGCTTGGGACTGTCCCTACAGGGATTAAATTGTCCTTAGAATAGTTCTGCTTCCCTCTGCCAAGCCTGCAACACCTTACTATACCTGATCAAGATCCGTTCCCCTCAGCCTGGCCTGTAACACCTTATAACACCTGGTCACCCTCTTCTTCTGTTCCCACTCTGTCCTTTCCCTTGCTCAGCAAGGTTCTGGTCAGAGGCCTTCACTCAGCCCCTGAGTCCTTTGCCTCTGTGTCCTACACACAGTCACCTGTTTGTTTGGCTCCTCACTGCTCCCCTCACCCCTCTATCTGAAGTTCTTTTCTTGATTCCAGTTTCAGAATTACCTCTCCACCACTGCATCTAAAGAAAGGATTCCTTTCTCAGGATCAATTTTTTTTATCTTTACCTTCAGAAGATTTAGGATGATTTTATTTGTTTCCTTGTTGTTTCTGCCTCTACACTGTGCATTCATGAAGGCAAGAGCCTGCTCACCATTTCTTCACTATTTTATCTGCGACAGTGAGTCTCAACGCGGTGCCACATATTAAGATCTCCAGAAACGTGTTTGGAAAGATTAATGAATGGAAGATGCTAAATACAAATGTCTGCTAAACTGTAACTAGATGCATAGAGACATGCAGTTTTTTTCCCTGAATGCCTGCCATGAAAGCCCTACCATAAACCATATATTCCAAATGTTCAAGAATCAGCAAGGGTACTAAGCTTAAAAACAAAGCAAAACAAAACCATAACAACAACAAACACTCACCTATGCCTACATTTTAGCTCTCCTTTTGTGGGGGAAAAAAAAAGAGTAAGATTACCAAGAAAGCCACTTATTAGTAGTACACAAGCTGACATCAATTACCTTAAAGTAATGTTTCACTGTATGTAGGTATGTTTTCAAAAGGTTTCACGATGAAAAGAGCAGTACTTTTCACTGCAGTCAGAGTCCTGTTGCCAAATTGTGTGGGTAAAGCAGAAAATCAAGCAGGATGGAATTCTCACACAGTTATGTCCAACTGACAGCCCTGCTATTAACCTCACAAGTGTCCAAATGTTCAAATGGTGACGTTAGGTCTGTCATATGTCAATAAGAGCATTCCCTAAGTTCTTTTCTCTTTGGGATAAGACACTCACTTGCACATTCTATTTAATTGCTGAGTTAGTAGGTATTTCAACATATAATTTTCATTGAATTAGTATATGTCCGTATAGATTTCAGTCATCGCTGGATTTATAGAGGGAGTTCCCTGGCTGTTACTATGGAATGGCAAATGCTAGAGTGATTGGTCACCTTGGATCTGTTTCATGCAGCCTACTAAAAACTAAGTATTAGCTTGGTAGGCACTTTGGTGATGATGGTAATGTAGCCTATTTCTTAGTATTCTTGAGAAATAGACAAAACTAATTTCTTCATTGCATATAGTGACTGGATACTAAAAGGTTGCCCACTTCTCTCGCTGGCTTCTGCTGGTCTTGAAATAAAAATGATTACAGCTGCAGGGACACCACCTAACCACCAGAGGGCAGAATATTACAATTTGGTATGGGAAGCAATCAAAAGGATCTAGAGCCAAAATGCCCGCATTTTAATGAGACCTATAGTCACAAACTGCAACCTTGAATAATTGTCTTAAGCTTCTTTGACCTGATTACTTCATCAGGTCAAAGACTACAAACCAACTGATTGAATAAAGTTTTGTTTGTGGTACCAGATTGCCCATGATATACTGTGTGGCACATAAATAAAAGTAGCTATTATTTCTGAACAGGGTAAGGATCTTCAAGCAGACACTTCTCATAGCATTATTAATCTGGGATAAATTATAAGAGCATATAAACATAGTATGTTTTTCGTGTTTAGGATTACACTGTAGGACTGTAGTGTGCTTGGCATGCACGTATGAGATTTTAAGTTCAATTCCCAGCACTTGAAAAAACAAGAAGTGTAAGGTTATGTTGTTTTTGTCTGTAGTTTTTCACATTCCAATCTTTTTTAAAGGTTGAATCATTCCCATTAGAGACAGAGACTTAGTTAGTATCCGTCTCTCAAGAGCTTAGCACTTGGTTTGTGCTACTGATTGAGCAAGGTCATTTTTTATAAATTTTATATTTGATTATGTGGCTATGCCAGAGTTCAAACCACTTGTTCAGTCACATTAAAGTAAAATAAAATAAAACGTTCAATTTTCTTAGATAACATATTTCATGCCCCACTCCCAGGATTTTTTTCTTCATCCTTCTCCAGTTTTATGTCATCCACCAAATGTATGCCAAGTGGCCTAAATTAATTTACACCATTATCCATGTCAGAAGTCACCCATGTAGAGACCTTGCCCAGCAGTGAAAAAATGCTGAGCCAAGAGGGAAGAGCACCAGGATGTGGCTCCTTGCCTTGATGGTCCCATTCATTCACATACAGGCTTTGGCCTGTCACTCTGCCTCCACAAATACCCTAGAATTAAAATAGGAAGCTCTCTGTGGTCTTTTCCAGTTATTACAACCTATGCCTTTCTCTCAGAATCTCCATATCACAGTTGAAAGGGACATTAAATGATGTGTTGTCCCTTCCACCCACTGAATAAATCCTCACTTTCATTTAAGACCATCTAACCCTTATTGAGACTACTTACCAAATTTTAACAGGACAAAAAACAAGATGGAAGTCAGTGGACTATGAGACACCATACATGCTGGCAGAAATTCACAACTTCATAATGAATGATCTAATTGTATTTGAGAATAACTACAGAGAAACAGAACAAAAAGGAAACTCTTCTGGCCAATCACACTTTGCTCTTCCCCAAAAGAGTTTGGTTGAAGGGAACAACTAAATTTTGCTACATGTAACATTCTACGCAGTAAATTATGTAGAATCTACCCCTTCTCAGACACTGTAATGCATATGGAATAAGAATGATTTTAGGCTCTGGAATACTTCAAAACTATGTCACTATGACAATAATAATGATGTTTATGCCAACAGCCCCTTGCAACTTTCTCTGTTTCTAATAATAAATAGATCTTTTGAATGTAAGAATAAAAGGAACCACAAGTAACATCATTTCCTCTCTTAAGTAATTTTGAATTCCGTGTATGTGTGTGTGTGTGTGTGTGTGTGTGTGTAGGGGGTAATTCTTGGTCATTTTCAATTCAGTTGTATCAGACTTTGATTCAAGCAACCCAAAAGAGAAAGGAAAAAAAGGACAAGAAGAAGAAAAACGTTAGAGGACAACAGTGTCGGTGCAAGTCATAATGATAAATGGTAAAGGGGGAAAAATGAGCCATGGCACCTTTACCTTCTGAGTTCACAGTTCATATTCTCTGATCCCTGTACCATTATGTCTTGGAAGTGAAAGTATCATGGCTTATAACAATTATATACTTATTTTGGTTCCTTTCCCTGGATGCACATGCCTGCCTGCCTTGGAGATTTGTTGAGTGACGTTATTTTTCTGCTATTGTGAGAACCAGAAATGTGAATTTGTTTTTGAGTTCTCTCACATGTGTGGGTGATGCATTTGTAATAATGTATCATTGAGATTGCATTAAATCAATTTTGATGATAATGATAATCAGAGGATTGATGACAACTAACTCATCTAAAAGGAGCTCAAGGCAAAAAATGAATGCATGTTGAATGCAGTGACATAATATATCTCCAGGATTGTCACATTACTTCTATTTCTTTCATTTATTTATGCAATCATTCCTACTGAGTATTTACTACTCGTAAGATTCTGCTAGACTAAATTATGTTTTGTGCATTGAAGTTACAATAAGATTAAACAGCATACTGATTAAATGCGGTAATATTAACAATGGGAATATTAAAAATAGTGGCTTTGTCATTAAAGAAATATAAGTGCATATATGCTATCATTGTGAAGGGAATAATCAACTCTCCTGATTGTGGGGTCTATCTGGAAGGGTTGAGGAAAGATAATACTTCCATGGGCTCTGAAGGAGAAAATAAAGGTGGCTTTCCTTGTAGATGTTCTAGACTATATGAGGTCAGCTCTGCCCAATGTGTTGAAGGAATTGGAAGAAGGAAGCTTTGATGGGGTGAAGGTTAGTGAACTGTATGTAGATGAGGAGGGAAGACAACGGGATGGACAGAGGGCAGAAATAGGCTTCAAACTGAGATTATATTAAGGGGACCTCATTGAGAAGGGTTACCGTTTAAGGTTTTTAAATGAGTGTTTAATTTACAAACACCTTAGTTTTCCAGTAACAGAAATTGTAATTCAAAAAGGCTTGATCAATTACATGTTGTAATGGCTTGCATAAATCCAAGGCCAGAAGTTACATGGTTCAAACTTTGTTCCTCTTGGTTTTGGATTTTTCCATGTAGGGGTTTAATTTAATTTTATATTAAGGTCATATAAAATAATGACCCAGCATTTCACATGGCAAATGCAGAGGCAGAGAGAGCTGCTTCAAGAAACCCCATGAGAAAAACTCTTGCAGAAACAGCTCCTCCACCACTCCTTGTTTCTCGTGGGTTACGTCAGATCCCATGCTCATGCTTTCCTGGAGCAAGCTCTTTCAGTGGGGAGGCACCTGCCACGGATTTGCTGGATCCAGTGCTGAGAAGTGGAGAATGCTGTGTTCATTTAAAGGGCAGCCTGGTAAGATGAGGAGAGACACACAAGCAAAAATCTAAGTGTCATAGCAGGAGGAGAGGGGAGGAAAACAACGGAGGGGGAATGGACATGGACTACCCACATCCCTTTATATATTTTTATTTCTGTATTTCTGCTTATATATTTGAATATGGAGATGCCTGTGTTTTCCTTATCAAGAGACTCTAATAGACTATCTAGTTATTACATGCAAAGCCAAATCCAGAATCTCAAGAGGTAAAGACTTTCCTCAATCTGGATTATCTACCCATGACACTGCCATGTTTTACACTGTTCTCAGATGACTTCAACTTGTAGACAGATGGTCTTATAGTGACCAAATAGAAGAAACAGAGTTAATTATCAACATAAGAAATCTTAGAACTTCATTCATTTTCTTGTAATAGAATGCATACCCATTTAATTTTGTTCATACCTAAAATATTCGTTTCATTAATGAGCCACTGCAGTCACGTAAAGTCAAAACCTCAGCATTCTCTTGTGGCTTATACAAGTCTGGGAAGGAGGTTCAGGAAATCTATTTTGACATTTATCTCATCAAAACTTGCCAGATAACACTTCCTGAAGCATCACTGAAACTTCTCTTTTTTGGATCTTGTCCAATAGTAGTTTAACCAGAGTGAAGTATCCTAATTAGGCTGAAATGATCATAGAAAATTAGAGGGTAACCTGTCCAAGTTCTGATTCTACATGGCAGAAATTCCTAGCAACTATCTCTGTGTTGTTAGAAAAGTCTTCTCATCAGGAAGTCTACTCCTGCTCCTCAAATTAAATATTTCATTTTTAGACAAAGAAAATAGATTTGGAATTCCAAATATACATCTCGAAAAGAAAGAGTAAACAGCAACTACCTTGATCTAATATTAAAGGAATTTATTTGAAGTAAAAGCTTGACCTCTTGCTCCTTTTTTTTAAAAAAAAAAAACAAAAAACAGAGGATTGAACTCAGGGGCACTTAACCATGAGCCACATCCTCAGCCCTTTTTATTTTTTAATTTCTTTTATTTTGAAACAGGTTCTCACTAGGTTTGAACTTCCTTCCTCAGCCTCCTGAGCTGCTGAGATTATAGGCATGCACCATCATGCCTGGCTCTTGCTCCATTTTTAACCAGAGAAGTAGGGGAGGCTCCATAAAATAGGAGAAAAAGAGATGGATATGCTATGAGATGAAAATTATTTTACTATTAATAGAATTATTCTTTTGATTATTGTTCTTCTAGGTGGTCAAATTTAGGATCTAGCTAGAGGACAGCTGAGATGACTTTGAAAAAGTAATTATAAAGTCCTTAAATTAAAAGTTAGAAGTTAGATCCATAAGCTTGTCTGTAGGAAGAAAACTGGAAGGTCCTAGAAAAAAAAAAAAAAAAACTATGTTGGTCAACAGATTCTGGATCCATAGCCCAGGGAAAGGAAGTCACTGGATTCACAATCTAGTAAGTAGCACCTTCTACAATCATTGACCAGGCAGCAACTACTGCTGGACCCAAAGCCCAGAGATGCAATGTTAAGTCAACTGGGACTAACTGTAGAGTGTGGAGGTCTTTGGGCAATAGTAGGACACCTGGCACTGGTTGGATATCCATAGGGTGGCTGGCATAGGGTACCCCAGAAATTAAGGTAATGATTTTTGTTCAATTAAAGCTAATAGAAATAATAGAATATCAACTTTATAATTTTCATCCTTGAGTCCAGTTTTATGGTATTCTTTATTTGCTATACTTCAATAAGTAGAACATATTGAATAATTATGAGTAAGATTCAGGCATTTGATTACTTTACCAGGAAATATTGGGTGACTTCAAGAAAAGATACTAAAAAAATCATACATCATCATTTTAATTTTTTTCAGTTCGATTTTGCTTCATCTATAACCATAACATATAAATCTATTTTTTCTCTGCATTTCTAATAGAACTCTCAAACAGTCTATTACATTAGACCTTGTGGCTTAGACTTAAGGATCTGCATTTTTGAGGAATCAGTTTAATTTCTACATCTAGTTTTAACTAACAAAAGTATATATATTCAAACAATATCTTTTTACTTCCACATTTTGAGAAAGAAAAATATCTAAGGCTTTTGAAAGTTTTGTTCAAATCCCTAACTTCATAGAGTTTCAAAGCCTATTTTACTATGCATGTGGATAATTTAATAATAATCCCTTTACTATTTCACCACCAATACCCTAACAAAACAAACCAACCTGGATACCAAAGCAATAAATTGATCAGGTTGAATTTTCAGTTTTCCTAGAATTTGGGAAGAAAATCCAACAATATAAATTGCATCTTAAATGAATATTTTATTTTGAGTGAGTACATTCATTACAGGGTTTCTCAAATGATGTATGTGAGCAAGTGTTTGTGGTCAATGTTAGGGTCAGAAATTGACAACCAGGGAACAAGAGGGCCATTTTTGTATATAAGGAAGAGGGTAAGGATTGGGAGAGGAGTTACTGATGACATTGGTCAACAAGATTAGAACTTAGTAAGATGATTGATAGAACCCAGATTCAGATGCACAGGTTGGTCTGTGGCAAGACGCCTGGCAAGGTCTGGAAGCCCATAGGGTGAGTGGCAGAGCCCAGATTCATAGCCCAGGGAAAGGGAAGCCGCTGACTCTGTAATCCAGGTGTCTAAACCCATTAGATCCACATCCTGATTAGTAGTATTTTCTAGATCCACAGCCCAGGGAGTGGCGACAGCTGCTTATCCCAAAAGTCAGAGAACCACTGCCATCGCTGCCAGGGGACTTATGGTGGAATAGGTTTCCTATAGAAGGTAATCTAAGAAACTGGAGACTCAAAGGCAAATGCTAAGTCAAACTTTGAAAATAAAAAAAAAAAAGCACAGTCACATATGTTATGCGAGAGTCAATGAGTTTATTAGGTCAAATATAACTGAAGTTTCATAAATGTTATAGGATGAATTTATGTATTAATGAATTACTTGTTTCTAAATTATAGACATTGGACTCTACACTTTGGTCATTCATTAATTTCACAGCCTGAAAGTGCTAGTTTGTTAGCTTGTGCTTGATGCCAGAGAAAGGGTGCAGGGAGAGGTTAGTGAATATTGCTGAGAAACTAAGAACAGCAGCTCTGAGTAGATACTGAGATATTTGGCTTGAAAGGTCTGGAAATTCAGCAAATTTATCTCTAGAAGGCTGACCCACAGGTTGGTCTGTAACAAGAAGACTGGAAGCTCCTAGAAGCCACATAGGTTGGGTGGTGGAATCCAGATCCATAGCCCAGGGAAGGGCAGTCATGGATTCTATAACTCAGAGGTCTGAAGTGGATGGATCCATAGCCCGAGGGATAGCAGCTCCTTGATTGGTAGCCCAGAGAACAGGAACTTCTAGATCCATAGCCCAAGGAATGGCAGCATCCAGAAACATGGCCTAAGGAATGGCAGCTTCTAGATCCATAGCCCAGAGAGTGGCAGCTTCTAGATCCGAAGCCCAGTGAGTGGCAATTGCTGGACCCAAAGCCCAGAGATCCAGCATAGGTCCCCTGGCAGGGACTGCAGTGGGTGAAGGTCCTTGGGTGGTAGCAGGTCCTGGACACCACACAGGAATTCTGGCATCCTGAGGGCCTGTGGAAGATGTCCTGACAGCCCCTGTAGTGAGAGGAGCCCAGGTGGCAGGTCCTGGGATGGTGGAAGTTGGTGGTATAGACCAGGTTGCTGGGGTAGGAGGAAGAACAGAAGGAGTGTGAATAGGGCAGATGGCTGCCTAAGGAGTGGGAAGAGAAGTCTCCAAAGCAGCAGCTGTGGGACATGCTGAGAGAAGATGTGAGCTCAGCTCAGTTACAGAGAAATGATACTCGAATGCCCCTGAGTACTCCTAGTGGTGTTTATATACCCTCACTCTGGGGGTGTGATGCAATATCAGAGACCCTGCCCATTCCTGTGCATGTGTTTTCATGAAATGACTAATTAACCTATCCTCTAATTGTAATTGAACTCATTCACGTGTCCTTAACTGTAGTTTGATCATTCTGATTTATAGAAGCCACTCTGCTTCTCTCTGTCTCTTGTGTGGTTTGCTTTTTTAAACATTGGTCATGGATTATCCAGTACCCCGCTCCTTCATTCAGTTTAACTGTGGGTATTTTGAGCATGAGTGTACATAATTTTCAATAGTAATGTGCTCCTAACAGTCATCAATACCCATCCCTCTAATTATTTTCATATGATTTATTGAGCATTTAGTATTGCAAAATATTTAATTGTGGCATGATTTACTCTTCACAACAATCTCATGAGATAAAAATTGTAAGAATTCTTATGAGATAAGATTTAGGAATGAGGTCATGGAGGCTTGGAAAAATTATATGACTTCCAAGTAATGATCAAAGAAGTCATTGATCCCATGTCATAACCCAGGTATGTCTGTCTCTAAAGCTAGCAGGAGCCACAATGCTATATTGGCAACTTGGGGTGCTTTATGTTTCAGCTTCCAGAACCACATGCCAATAGAGAATTAAATCAACCTTGCTGAGAACAAAGAAAACTATATTTATTTGGAGCTAATTATAATTTTAATCTAGGAAAACACAGGTTCAAACAGTTGAAAATGTGTTGTATTTATAACTTCAAACCCCAAAGGCGGTTTGAAAAATTTTATCATTTAGTCAGGAATTGTGATTGATGCTGGAAAAAATTAAGTTGTTGTGTAAGAAAAAGATTGAGTGGGATCTCAGAGTCTGAGTGGTTTGGGGGAAGGGCTCCATTGTACAAGACAAACGAGAATAAGGATGTTGGGAAACTACCTGGTCCATAGGTTTGGTTCAAAACAAAGGTCAATAGGAATCTGGATGCATACCTGCAGGTAGCCTGGCTCAAAAGTGCAGCTGTGGACTGTCTGAGACCTGATTAACAGTGGCTTCCAGTTCCATTTTAAGTGCTTGAACCAACGATACTCCGTCTTTATTTTCTTTTCCTTGAGACATAGGAACAATTAGGTATTCAAAAGAAAAAAAAAGGTAACATTTCAAACAGATGATATTTGTGTCTTATGTGATATATCCAAAGGGTATTCGTTTCACTTGTGAAGTCCCCAAGTATAGCCAATGAAGACACGGCTTCTTAATTTTCAATTATTTATTTATTTGGCTTCTTAATTTTCAATTATTTATTCATTTGGTATTCAAAGTTACTATGGAGATGCTTGTAACAAACCATCTCCCGTTGTCCTCTCATTTAGCTTATCACCCTTAATGTTTTTCCCACTACAAAGTTATTGGATTCTTTTATGTGTGAAGCAGAGAACACTTTGGCAAACACTTCTGACTATCTCTGGGAATAATTGCTTAAAAACTGATACACTTCTAGTGAGCTGACTACCAATGAAACACATTAGCAAAAACTTGAATTTTAATAGTATGCTAACCTTTGCCAACTCAGTTGGGAGTGAGAAATCTGACACCTTAGAGAGTGATTCATTTCACCCCCTGATGAGATTCTCTTTTGCTCATCCTTCCAGAAAGACAAAGCACCATAAAATTTACTTTCATATTAAGTACTTAAAATTATCCTTATCACTATCAAAAAAAAATCAATGGTACAAAGAAAAGTCTTGGAATTTAAAAAGTCTCTTTTTTTCACCCATTATCATGTCCAACTTCTTTTTTAAAAAAAAATTTTAGAAAAGAAAATCAAAAAAGTATTTATTTATTTTTATCTTCTCAACCTGTCTCATAGATGGCTTTTTTCCTAGTCTCTCATAGTATTTATTTATCTACCAATACAATAGTCTGCCTATTGCTTTGCTTACAAACCTCTACTGAATGTATTGCTCCCTTTTTCTCTTCTTTCATTACTCTTAATCATTCTCATTCCCCAAAGCCAAACTCAACTCTTCCTGTTTGGCAGGGAGAAGAACCTCAGTATTTTATATGCTGGTCTATCTGGGTGGGTGCATGCATAGGTGAGTGTGCGCACATGCACACACACACACACACACATACACACACACACACACACACACCCATGCACGATGGAGGAATTGCAAAAGACATCTTTAAAGGATGTCTTTTGAAATGTGTCCTCTGGGATGAGGAGGAGTTAGCTTGCAGGGCAGTCCCATGTGTGGGAGTAACACACAGGAGGAGCTCAGTAGGGCTAGTAACAGTGCTTAGTCCGTGTTTGACTCAGCATTTGGCACATGTTGGGTGTACACCATTATTTATGAAATGAAAGCATATATATAAAATCTTTATATTTTTACTTTCATCCAAAAGAAATATATGTAAATAATTATTTTTTGGGCTTTCAAAGTAATTTTAATGAATATAAATATCTTTTTCATGATTAAATATAATTCCCTTGTTAACCATACCTAGTAATCCAGGTTTTTAAACTAGCAATCCACTTATAACATGTACATAAAGAGAGAAATTAGGCTTTGCATGTGGGCAATTTATGAACAATTCTTATAGTGTGTATAAATGTGGACTTGTTGTTTTTCCATTACACAAAGAAACAGGATCAGAGAAAGCATAATTGGAAAGAGGTGGTCAGTTAGCTTGGCTGGAAGTCTGGGTACAACCCTCCATTGCAGTAGTATCATGATTTTGGCTCTTTTCTATCATGTTGCAGGTACTAAAACCACACACACTAGCTGGACATGCCCTCCATCATGACCTGGGGGCGACCAATTTCTCTAAGTCACTGTGGGGTCAGAATGTTCGAATCCACGCTCCAGCATTCCTATACACACATCAGGGTAGTTTTACTTGGGAAAATGCTAGCAGTATACGGCACCTATGTGATTCTCAGTTATTTTATAATTTTTAGAGCTATACCTTTTTATAAAAAGTACAAATTACTATAACTTCGAAACATTAAATCTTTGTATATCTTACTACCATAATTTGGAATTCTATTCTAAAAACAGGCACAGCTATATTTTTAAAAAAATAAAATTTACTATGATATTTAAGGTATATGGAGAATCACTTCTTTAATAGGTATATTAGAAAACAGCTCCGTGAAAATGACAACCCATTTAAATAATATATTTATTATGGATGTGAATATGTACATAATGGTGTCCACAAACTTTGAGAAAGGTCAAATCCATTGGGTGGATTGTACATTTAGTAAACTCTCAAAATATTCTGCATTGCTTCCTGCAACCTTTTTCTGAGGCACTATTGGTCTAAAAGTGCTTTCATGGATTCTGAACTCATGCTTTATTATATGTTTATGATGTGACTGAAGAAGCTATAATAATAGAATAACAGTTTTTCACATGAGGACACTATGTCATGCAGCCAGAAAGCTGTGCATTTGGTAGGTGTGCATTCTTTCTTGTACATGAAGCTTAAAAAAATTTATATTCCCTTCACATAACATTTCCATCAACAGCACCCTCTGTTATCCATCTTCCATTTGTACATGCTCTCATCTGTAGATTTGCCTGATTTGCCATTTGGAATGTCTTGACCGAAAAGCTATATTCTTCTCACTTAGACTACATCAATATGTTTATTGATGTAGTCTAAGTGAGACTACACTTAGTTTATCACAATCTGTCACAAATTTCAGTGCTTGTAGTAATCTTCCTTTTCTGTCCCCGACCCCTGCCCCTAAGCAAAATATCTTTCCTGGAACCCTCATTTTCTCCCCTTTCAAAATGCTTTGTTCTCATTCATTCCAATTTATAATTCCCAGCATTATAAATACTATCAATCCTTTTCAGTCCAAAAATTTTAAGTCCATGATTATATAACTTTTCTTTTTAAATCCAGAATTCTCTAGAGTTGTGCAGCAATTTGTCAACTATTCTCACTTCTTATTCTCTTCAGTAACCACCTTGCCCCTCTTTAGCACTCTTCTGAAGTGATTCTGCATGGTCAGCCGTGGCCTCAATGCTGTAAACAAATGCAATGGACATTTCAGGGTAACTCTATGTTCACATTGAGCCACATCAGCACAGGTGACATGGCCTTAATCTTGAAACAGGTTTTGTCCAAGTGTTTTCTTGCCATCACAAGCCTTGTTTTCTCTTTAATTTGCACCTAATTTTTTGTTGCCCTGGGTGGGTTCTTCCCATAGTATTCCTTGAGACCTGGTGCTCAACTCTGGACATAGTCTATCTACAGAGGAAATGCCTTTTCTCTATGGCTTAAAATACCTTCTATATTTTATTACATCAAATCATCCCAAAATCATATTTCCAGTCCACACCTTTTTTAAAAAGTTGAGGCCTAGAGATCCAACTACTTCTTACCATTTCCATTTGGAAATTTCATAGTGTCAAACTTTCATGTGTATGGAATTGAACTTTTTTTCTCCTTTAAGAAGAAAAAAAAAACATTTTTTTTCTCATTTTAATGAGAAACATTTCCACCAACACAGTTGACCTCAGGAAATTTGGACTCATAATAAATGCAGTCCATTCTGAGTACTTCCCATTCTCTCTGCCAAATTTATTTGACATCCATCCAGTCCTCTTACTGCCTTCCCGGGAGTCCAGGATTTTTTAGTCTTGGCCCCTTGAACATTATGAACTGGATCATTCTTTGTTGTGGGGGGGTCTTTTGCATGTTGTAAGATATTTGGAAGTATCTTTAGTCTCTTACTACTAGATGCCAGTGGTACCATCCCCCTCCCATTATGACAATTAAGAATGTCACCAAAACTTGGCCAGGAGTGGGGTAGCAATGTCAGATGGGAAGAACTGATGCTGCTCTTCGACCTCATCTCTTTTCTTGCTTGAGACTATTGACAACAGTTCTAAGTATGCCTGATTCTTTACAAAGAATTGTCTCCTTCAATATTTTCTCTGCATTTCTATGTGATTGATC